ACGGTCCACAAAACCAAAAGACAACCGACAGAATGGGAGAAAATATTTGCAAATGACATATCAGATAAAGGGCTAGTATCCAAAATCTATAAAGAACTTATCAAATTCAACACCCAAAGAACAAATAATCCAATCAAGAAATGGGCAGAAGACATGAGCGGACATTTTTCCAAAGAAGACATCCAAATGGCCAACAGACACATGAAAAAGTGCTCGACATTGCTCGGCATCAGGGAAATCCAAATCAAAACCTCAATGAGATACCACCTCACACCAGTCAGAATGGCTAAAATTAACAAGTCAGGAAACGACAGATGTTGGTGGGGATGCGGAGAAAGGGGAACCCTCCCACACTGTTGGTGGGAATGCAGGCTGGTGCAGCCGCTCTGGAAAACAGTATGGAGGTTCCTCAAAAAGTTGAAAATAGAGCTACCCTGCGATCCAGCAATTGCACTACTAGTTATTTACCACAAAGATACAAATGTAGGGATCCGAAGGGGTACGTGCACCCCAATGTTTATAGCAGCAATGTCCACAATAACCAAACTGTGGAAAGAGCCAAGATGTCCATCGACAGATGAATGGATAAAGAAGAGGTGGTATATATACACAATGGAATATTATGCAGCCATCATAAGGAATGAGATCTTGCCATTTACAATGACGTGGATGGAACTGGAGGGTGTTATGCTGAGTGAAATAAGTCAATCAGAGAAAGACATGTATCCTATGACCTCACTGATATGAGGAATTCTTAATCTCAGGAAACAAACTGAGGGTTACTGTAGTGGTGAGGGGGTGGGAGGGATGGGGTGGCTGGGTGATAGACATTGGGGAGGGTATGTGCTATCGTGAGCGCTATGAATTGTGCAAGACTGTTGAATCACAGATCTGTACCTCTGAAGCAAATAATGCAATATGTGTTAAGAAAATAAAAGAATAAGAAGAAGATAGCAGGAGGGGAAGAATGAAGGGGAGTAAATCGGAGGGGGAGATGAACCATGAGAGACGATGGACTCTGAAAAACAAACTGAGGGTTCTAGAGGGGAGGGGGTTGGGGGATGGGTTAGCCTGGTGATGGGCATTAAAGAGGGCACGTTCTGCGTGAAGCACTGGGTGTTATGCACAATGAATCATGGAACACTACATCAAAAACTAATGATGTAATGTATGGTGATGATCATAACAATAAAAAAAAAATCAAAAAAAAAAGTGTTGTAAGGTTTTGGGGTACCTGACTGGCTCAGTTGGAAGAGAATGCATTTCTTGGTTGTGAGTTTGAGCCCTCTGTTGGGTGTAGAGATTACTTAAAAATAAATAAAAACTGAAAAAGAATTACTAAGTGTTGTAAGGTTTTTGCATTGTTTTGGAAATGGTTAACAGTAACAATCAATACTGGCTTTTAATGGGTCGAGAATTTAATAGGTTCTTCCAGGAACTATAAAAGTTGACTGCAGAATTTATCCAGAAAAGCAAAGGTCCAAGAATAGCAAAACTATTCTGAAGAATAAGGTCCTGCTCTACTGCATATTGAAACAAATTGTAACTATCAAAATTAACATATTTTTATGGATAGACAAGCAGAAGAAAGGAATAGAATATACTCAGAAACAAACTCACTTACATGGAAATAATATACAACAAGGATGCCATTGCAGATCAGTGGGGAAAAGATAGACTTCAATAAATGGTTCTAGGAAAATTGGTTGGCTATGTGAGGAAAAAAAAATGAAATTGGATCCCAATCTTACATCATACACAAAAATCAATTCTAGGTGGGTTAAAGATTTACATGTAAAAGGCAAAACTTTGTTTTTTTTTAAATATTTTATTTATTTATTTGAGAGAGAGAATGAGAAAGAGCACGAGAGGGAAGAGGGTCAGAGGGAGAAGCAGACTACCTGCTGAGCCGAGAGCCCGATGCGGGACTCGATCCCGGGATTCCAGGATCATGACCTGAGCCAAAGGCAGTCACTTAACCAACTGAGCCACCCAGGCACCCAAGGGAAAACTTTGTAATTTTAAAAAGGAAATGCAGAACAATGTCTTGATGACCTTGGCATGGAGAACAGTTTCTTAAACAAGATATAAAAAGTAACAAAATAGTATAGAAATGGGCCCAGTTATGATGAGGCATTTAGCGGGAAAAAAGAAATTACAAATGGCCATACACGTATAGAAGAATTATCATTCTCATTAGTAACTAGGAGAATGCAAATTAACAGCACAATAAGGTACTATGCACAATAAGGTACTACTTCACATCCACCAGTATGGAAAAAACGTATAAACCTGGTAATTCTGGGTTTTATAAATGAGGGTACAACAACCAGAAGAACAACCACTTTATAGAGTTCATAAGATAAAATATAAGTTATATTTTATCTTATAAAATAACCTAGAAATTCCTGTCCTAGCTAAATATTGTAGATCAGTGACTTTTAACAGTTTTTTAAATGTTTTTTATTTAAGTATAATTTACATATGGTGAAATGTGGAGATCTTAGGTGGAACGTTCAGTGATTATTGATAAATAAATATACTCATACACTCCATAGCCCTCCCAAATAACAGAAATTCTGTCATATCTCTGTCAAGATATTTCCTGCTCTCTCCCCACTTCCCGACAAGGCAACTACTATTGTGATTTATTTTACTTAGAGTTTTTGCCTGTCCTAGAATTTTTTATATTTGGATCATAGAAAATGTACTCTCTTATTTATCATAAAGGTTTTTTTAGATTAATCCATGTTGTATCAATAGTTTTTTTTTTACTTTTTATTGTTGTATAGAATTTTATTATACAGATATGCCACGATTTGTTTATTTGTTTTTCATAAAATTAGTTGGGAAGATTCTTTCTTCTGTTTTCTGAAAGATTAGCATTATTTCTTCCTTAAGTGTGTGATAGAATTCAAATTTGTTAGAAGCTATCTGGGACTGTAGTTTTCTTTGTGGACTGTTTTAGATTATGAATTCATTTTTTTTAACAGGTGTAGGCTACTTGGAATTTGTTTCTTTTTGTGTCTTTAGGGATGTCCCCCTTTCATTTCTGATATTGCTAATTTATAACTTTCCTCTTTTTAAAATTATTCCTCTACCTATCACTTTTATCAATTTTATTGATTTTTTCAAAAAACACCTTTTTTATTTTTAAATTTTTTTATTTCCTACTTAATTTATTTCTACTTTATTATTTCTTTCCTTCTACTTATATAGAGTTTAATTTGCTTTTCTCCCCCTAGCTTTGTATGTTGGAAGTTCAGATTATTGATGTTAAAACTTTTATTCTTTTTTTAAATGTTGCATTTAATGATGAAAGCTATCAAGTTCCCTATAAACTGCTTTACCTACATCCCACAGATTTTGATATTTTGTATTTTCATTATCATTCAGCTAAAAATATTTTCTAACTTCTCTAATGATTTCTTTTTAAATTTTATTGATTTCTCCTCATCCTCTGTTAACTTCTCTCCTCCTCCTCCTTCTTTTCAGTAGCTGCTGTACAGGTTAAAATATGTATTTTTTACTTACCACACCCTGCCATGAATTAGTATTAAAACATTTCAGTATAATGTACCATCCTCACTATAATATGCTTCCACTTGTCCCCCTTTGTGCTACAGCTTCCATACATTTAATTTTGCATTATTGTAAAACCCACAAGACATCATAATTATTTCTGCTTTAAAGGTTAATTATCCTTTAAAGAAAACTTAAATAAGATGAAATATGTATCTATTCCCATTTTTACCATTTCCAATGTTTCTTATTTCTTTGTGTAGATTTGATTTTATGTCTGGTGTCATTTCCTTCAGGCCAAAGTACTTCCTTTACAAGTATGCTGGGAATTCTCTTAGCATACATTTTTCTGAAAAAGTCCTTATTTCACCATTATTGGGGAAGGATATTTTCACTGCATATAAAATTCTGGTTGACAGCTTTTTTCTCTCAGCACATTAAAGATGTGGTCAAAGTTGTCTTCTGGATTTAATAGTTTCTAATGAGAGTTCTTACCTTCATTCTCCTGTGCATAATGCATCATCATTTCTCAGGCTGCTTTTAAGGTTTTCCCTTTATCACTGGTTTTCAACAATTTGATAATGATGTGCCCAAATGTGAATTTTTTTGTATTCTGCTTGGGTTTTTAAATTTATTATTATTTTTCTTGAATCTGTCAGTTAATATTTTTCATCAAATTTGGAATGTTTTTAGCCATTATCCTTCAAATAATTATTCTTGTCTGACCTCCGTCTTCTCTCCTTCTGTAACGCCATTTGAATGTCAGATCACAGATCACCAAGACTGTTTATTGGTTGTTTCAGTTTTTTGTTTTTTAATAGACTTTATTCTTTAGAGCAGTATTAAGTTTATAGAAAATTGAGCAGATAGTGCAGAGAGTTCTCATATACTTCCTGCCCCCTCACAGTTGTCTCTATTATTAACACATTGCATCAGTGTGGTAATAAATACATTACAAAACTGTGTATAGATATGAAAATATAGGTGTAACTTTCCTTTTCTCCAGTTTCTCTATATGCTTTATTCCTCTGATAGTTGCTTTTCTATGTTATAATTAGAGGATAAGACAGTGTGTAGGTTTGGTCACCTTACAAATAACAGTTTATTCAATACAGGTTTCACTGATGATGTTTTCCTTGGTAGAAATGTTATATAAACATGCATAGAAGAGTTTATTCCATTGATGCTAATATAGCTCTTTTTTTATAATTTGATTTTCTTGTTTTTTACTCATAAGCCCCTAAAGCATATACATGTATATATGTGTTTCTTATGACAGATTTATTGTGCTTTAATTCTCAGAAATTGTATTATTTTTGAGCCATTGGCATCACTTCACAAATTCAGGTTTTGTTTTTATCCTTTCCAGGCCCAGCTTCAAAGGGAAAAAGAACAAGATCATAGGAAGCTGCAAGCAAAACTTGAAAATCTTGATATCTTAGAAAAAGAATGTTTTAAACTTACAACCACTCAGAAAACTGCTGAGGTAAGCTTCCACGTATTTCTTTGAAGTGATGATGCCAGGAATAAATCTTTAGTGTTAAGCATTATTGGCCCTATATGTGAATATACAGTAAATCTGATTTATAAAACTTCTTTAACAGCTCTTAGTAATCCAGATATGAATTTCTGCCTATGGAGATTAAAGTTAATGTATTCTGTCATGGCATGAATGAGCTTGCCTTTTGATGTAAAATTGTAATTTTGGCTTCTTCTGAAATGGCAGAACATTTTCATTTGTCAGATAATTTGCCTAAAGGATATTGAAAAGATTGTCTTTCACCATTTGTAGTTAAGTCTATCTTCAATCCTCCTGAAATGCCCTCTCCATTTTCCAACCAAATTTTATCCATTTTGTAGGACTTTCTCCAGGTCCTGCTTTCTCTGTGAAGCCTTCCTGAGTTCTCCAACACTCAGGGAGCTCTCCCTTTGAAATGGTACTGTCCTCAAATTCTGAACCATACCATGGATATAAGATAAAATATTTATATGTATAAGTATATACGTGGTCTGAGTCAAATTATGCTCATTGTTTTGTTGTTTGTTTCATGTATGTTACTGTTTCCTTAAGTACAGTATAAGCTCTTAAATAACAAGGAACATATCTTATATTTCTTTTTTTTCATTTTTTTACAAATTGAGATAAAATTGACATAGAACATTGTATTAGTTTTAGGTGTACAACATAATGATTTGATATTTGTATTTTTTTGATATTTGTATATTTTACAAAATGATTACCACAGTAAGTCTAGTTAATATCCATCACCATATGTTGTTACACAATTGTTTTTCTTTTTTTTTTATGTTTTTATTTAAATTCCAGTTAGATAGGGCACCTGGGTGGCTCAGTGGATTGAGCGTACAACTCTTGGTTTCAGCTCAGGTCATGATCTCAGGGTCATGTGATCTAGCCCTGTATTGGGCTCAGAGCTCAGTGGGGAGTCTGGTTGGAATTCTCTCTGTCTCTTTCCCCACCCCTCCCCCTGCTCTCACTCTCTCTCTCAAATAAATAAATAAATCTTAAAAATAAATAGAGATTATGCTAAGTGAACTAAGTCAAGCAGAGAAAGTCAGTTATCCTATGGTTTCACTTATTTGTGGACCATCAGGAATAGCAGGGAGGACATTAGGAGAAGGAAGGGAAAAATGAAGGGGGGAATCGGAGGGAGAGATGAACCATGAGAGACTATGGACTCCGAGAAACAAACTGAGGGTTCTAGAGGGGAGGGGGGTGGAGGGATGTGTTTGGCTCAGTTATGGGTATTAAGGAATTGCATGGAGCACTGGGTGTTTTACACAAACAATGAATCATAGAACATTACATCAGAAACTAATGATGTACTGTACGGTGACAAACATAACATACATACATACATACATAAAGGAATAAATTCCAGTTAATGTACAGTGTAATATTTCATGTGTATAATATGGTGACTAACATAACATACATACATACATACATGCATACATACATACATAAATTCCAGTTAACATACAGTGTAATATTAGGTTCATGTGTATAATATAGTGATTCAACAGTTCCATGCATCATCTGGTGCTCATCACAACAAATGCACTCCTTAATCCCCATCACCTATTTAACTCATCCCCCCACCCACCTCCCTTCTGGTAACCATCAGTTTGTTCTCTGTAGTTAAGAGTCTGTTTCTTGATTTGTCTCTCTCTCTCTTTTTCCCCTTTGCTCATTTGTCTCTCAAATTCCACATATGAGTGAAATCATATGGTATTTGTGTTGTTCTGACTGACTTATTTTGCTTAGCATTATACTCTCTAGTGAAACTTCAGCTTTTTCTGCCTTGCAAAGTAAGGTTGGAAGTCACCCATCTACTTTTCTGTCTTGCAAAAATCATTGCCACCTTTTCTCACGTTACCTTCTAGTGTATTTGTCCTTTGGTATTTAAAACTTTCTTATTCTATCCATGTCATTGCAAATGGCAAGATTTCATTCTTTTTTATGGCCAAGTAAAGGTTCATTGAATAAATAAATATATATATACACACATCTTTATCTGTTCATCAGTCGATGGACACTTGAGCTGTTTCCAGAGTTTGGCTATTGTAGATAATGTTGCTATAAACACCAGGGTGCATGTATCCCTTTAAATTAGTATTTTTGTATCTTTTGGGTAAATACCTAGTCGTGTGATTGCTGGATCGTAGGGTACTTCTATTTTAAACTTTTTGAGGAACTTCTATACTGATTTTCACAGTGGCTACACCAGTTTATACTCCCACCAACAGTGCATAAGGGTTCCCCCTTCTCACCATCCCCATCTACGCCAACATCTGTTGTTTCTTATGTTGTTGATTTTATCCATTTTGACAGGTATGAGGTGATATCTCATTGTAGTTTTGATTTGTGTATCCCTGATGATCAGTGATGTTGAGCATCTTTTCATGTGTCTGTTGGCCATCAGGATGTCTTCTTTGGAAAAATGTTTACCCATGTCTTCTGCCCATTTTTTAATTGGATTATTTGTTTTGGGGGTGTAGAGTTTCATAAGTTCTTTATATTATTTTGGATAGTAACCCTTTATCAGATATGTCATTTGGAAATATTTTCTTCCATTCTGTAGGCTCCCTTTTAGTTTTGTTGATTGTTTCCTTCACCGTGCAGAAGCTTTTTATTTTGATGTAGTCTTTATCTTATGTTTCTTTTTTTTAAAAAAGATTTTATTTATTTATTTGACAGAGAGAGACACAGTGAGAGAGGGAACACAAGCAGGGGGAGTGGGAGAGGGAGAAGCAGGCTTCCCATGGAGCAAGGAGCCCGATGCAGGGCTCGATCCCAGGACCCTAGGATCATGACCTGAGCCAAAGGCAGATGCTTAACAACTGAGCCACCCATGCGCCCCTATATCTTATATTTCTAATATGTCTTCCTCTCCCTTCCCTCCTCCAACAGCTGTACCCTTAATAATATGCACACAGTAGACATTTATTGTGTTTTGAATGAAACATTGAGACCCAAGACTATGATCATTTGACCTTCTAGATTTAATACCCCCCAAAATTTCATCATTATGGTTTTGTTGCTAGAAGTTAATAATGTCTTTGCATGTACATTCTTTGCTTTCCCTTTGTTCTTCTTATATGTAATAGCAGGTAAAGAAGCATAGGAAGAAAGCCAAGAAAAATTGTAGCATCTTTTGCCATTTCTTTTTCTTACTTTCTGCTTTAGCTTACTGAACTACTAACAATCAAGACTCGAAGAGTCTATGTGGAAAAAGAACAAAGGCTATTTGACTCTAGTTTTTATATAATAATACCAGTTTTTTTGTTCTTTTGCAGGACAAGATTAAACATTTAGAGGAAAAACTTAAGGAAGAAGAACATCAGCGTAAGCTATTTCAAGACAAAGCATCTGAAGTAAATAGAGCATTATATCATTATCACAATAAACCACATGTTTTATTATAATTTGTTTTCATTATCTGCAGGCTATATTTTAGACTATAATTTCTGCTTCCTAACTTGTTAGTTTTGGTCTCTTTTTGCTATAATAATGAGATTCTCAGTAAGTCAGCCAGCATATTTATATACTTGGATGCCTGCCAAAAGAAGTCTTATAGTCTTTTGAAATTCTGACATATATATATATGAAATAATTCCTGATATAGATTGTTTTCAGTTTGATTGATATATAGGTATTAAATAATGCATTCTCTTATAAACAGAAAATGATTGCATTTAGCAATAGACTTAGTGGGGCTTTCACATACAAAAAATAGTATTTAGGGTTTTCTTTTTTTTAAGATTTTATTTATTTCAGAGAGAGAGAATGAGAGAGAGAGAGAACATGAGAGGTGGGAGGGAGGAGCAGACTCCCTGCTGAGCAGGGAGCCTGATGTGGGACTCGATCCCATGACCTTGGGATCATGACCTGAGCCGAAGGTAGATGCTTAACCTTAACGGACTGAGCCACCCAGGTGCCCTGGGGTTTTCTTTTCTTCCTCAAAAAGCACTTTTTAAAAAAGATTTTGTTTATCTTAGAGAGAGAGAGAGAGAGAGAGAGAGAGAGAGCATGAGTGGGGGGAGGGGGCGGAGACAGAGAATCTCAAGCAGGCTCAGTACTGAGCACAGAGCCTGACATGGTACTCGATCTCATGACCCTGAGGATCATGACCTAAGCCAGGCACTCAACCAACTGAGCCACCCAGGCGCCCCAAGCATTTTTGTCTTCATAAGCTGAGACCTGATTTCTTATTATAATGTTTTTGAAGAAACTTGTTAAAAATCAGTTGCATAAAGCTTTTTCTTTAATATTATAGCTTCAGACTGGACTTGAAATCAGTAGAATTTTAATGTCTTCAGTATCAAATCCAAAACACTGCAAGGAGAAGAAGAAGTCTTTGAAGGTATGCAGATACTTTTCTTATTTGCTAATGCTTATTTCTTTACTCTTTTAATATTTATACCTATCCATTTCCAAAAAGAATTTAGAGAGATTTGTAATAAAAGACATGCAATAATGCTATGAAATGCAGATAAAAACATAAGTTGAATGCTGATGGTTTTAGGTTTGAGGATAGAAAATTCTATAAAATCCAGGTTAAAGAAAGTATCAGCAGTTGAGCCCAAAAACTAATTTTGAGTTTACTTGATAACCAAAGCAAAAAGGACCATATGACAATCAGTATATTTGTGAAATAACAATAAACATGCCAATTTTTCTAGAAAGATAGACATTTTCCTAGTACTAAACTCTTTTTTTTTCGATTTGTGCAACGTTATTGCAAGAAAAATAAATAAGTTATTAGCAGAGCTATTAGTTGATCACTTATCCATTGACAACTTGCATCATTTTTACATTAAACAGTGTATTGAAGATAGATTAACTATGAGCTCCGAGCTTTCTAATAATTTAAATTTAAATGAAAATTAAAAAAAATTTTGAGACCCTGTTTTGGAATGCAAAGGGTATTTGACTTCCAGTTTCCATTCTCTGTAGAACAAGAACATATCATTCCTTTATTAACATGCATAAAATACATCATAGATTTTGTTCTGCTGATGCTATAAATTAATATCAATTCTCCATTCATATCAGTTTGAGCATAAAGTGTATCATGTAACTCAAATTTCTCTCAATGGAAGGCTTAAGAAAGAATGGATGCTTGAATAATGTTGCTTCCTTTGATGTGACAACTGAGCATCCATCTCCGTCCCCCTCAGATGATTTTCTTCAGCATGTTAGAGCAGTGAGGAATGGTTTTAGTGTCATAACCAAGTTAGAGTGAAGACATTGGCCACATAATACACATGCTCCATTCTTTAAAAAATTCTGAATCTTGGGGTGCCTGGGTGTCTCAGTCGGTTGAGCATCGGACTCTTGATTTCATCTCAGGTCATGATCTCAGGGTCGTGGAATGGAGCCCCGTATTGGGTTCAGTGCTCAGTACAGTCTGCTTGAGATTCTCTCCCTCTCCCTCTGCACAACCGCCCCCCCCAAATAAATAAATAAATAAATAAATAAAATCTTTAAAAAAAATTCTGAATCTTGGGCAACTATACTTTTATAAATACCTTGTAGTTTTTAATAGCAGTTATTGTCGAAAACTGGAAGAAGTTAAGTCTTTGTCAGATGAGCATCTGAATGAATGGAGGGAAATAAACAAAAAATAAAATTTTATTTTAGTCTGCTAAGGGAGCAGCAGTCTGGTAAGAAAATTAAAAAAGGAACAGTAATTTAAATTTTATTCCAGCTATAATGCAGGTTATTTTGACCTTACAGTAGCATCACATGACATACTTCTGAGTCCATTTCCAAGATACTCTGTTGTACTTATCTCTTTCTGTTTTATAGACCTGTGCAATCTCTGGCACTAGAGGGTCACATAGCAGTGAACAAATGGATAAAAGAATTTTAGAAATAGTTAAAGCAACAGATCACTGTGATCTTAGAATATCAATACAAATGCTACCATTACTGTTAATATTTGGCAGATAAATTCTTGTTGTAAATGCAACCTTAGGTGGTTTGAAGTAGACTATAGGAAAATGAATCATCAAAAATAATACACCACCTTGATGTGGGCTACCATTAGGTTCCATAATTGTGGCTTGCTAATGAAAGGTATCATCCCCAACTGGACCTGCAAAATATTGCGCTAGAGGGTTATGGGCCAAATCACTAAGTTCCTTTTTAATCCATTTCAGTGCCATGACCTGTGCTTTTCATCTGGCTCCTCACTCTCTCAGTGTGTGCTCAAAGGCTGCACAGGGAAGGACTGTCTCTTCGTCTCACACTAGTTCTGCCAGACACAGGCACAGAGGGTCAGGGCCTCCCTCAAGCTACCCCTAGTACTAAACTCTTATAGAAATGTATTCTGCAATATTTTATAAAAGAGACACTAAATGACACAACAGATGATAACAACACAATAGATCCTAGAAGCAGTTTTTTATAACTTAAGGTCACCAGACCATATCTGTTAGAATGACAGTAGTATTTATCTATCAGTTCAGATCTTGGGAACACAGAAACTCCTTAGATCGGAAAAGTAGTAATTATACACAGTTGAAAACTTAAATACTATCAATAAATACAGTGAAAAGGGGCGCCTGGGTGGCTCAGTCGTTAAGTGTCTGCCGTCGGCTCAGGTCATGATCCCAGGGTCCTGGGATCGAGCCCTGCTTTGGGCTCCCTGCTCTGCAGGAAGCCTGCTTCTCCCTCTTCCACTCCCCCTACTTGTGTTCCCTCTCACGCTTTGTCTGTCTGTCAAACAAACAAAATACAGTGAAAAATCAGTAACAACAACTCTGCAGATCAAAATAAATCCAAATCTAAAGCAAGGCCTTTAAGAATTCATAAGTGGCATTATTCTTAAGACTGAAAGAAAAAAGATACCTATATATCTTGCTACTTCTTCTGATAAAGAATGAAAATACATACTCATTTGGTCCAGCTCATCTTGCTTTACTATCAGTGATTAAGCTGTAGTACATCCATAATATGAAATACTACACAGAAATAAAAGGAATGTGTTGGTATTTGCTGGATCCTGTTGAAAGAGATTTGGCTTCATTTCAGTTTTTTACTATCACAAATAAAGCTGTTATGAACATTTGTGTATAGGTTTTTGTGCGAACATTGGTTTTCATTTCTCTGGGATAAATGTCCAAGAGTGTAATTGCCGAATCATCATATGTACTTACCATATAAGTACATGTTTAGTTTTACAAGAAACTCAAATTATTTTGTATTCCTACAAACCATGCATGAGTGATCTGGCCTCTCCACCTCTTTGCCAGCATTTGGTATTGTCACTGTTCTTTATTTTGGCCATTCCGATAGGTATATAGTGATATTTCATTGTAACTTGCATTTTCCTAATGGCTAATGATGTTGCAGATCTTTTTATGTGTTTATTGCCATCTATATGACCTCTTCAGTGAAATGTCTACCCACATTTTTTTTATTGTTTTCTAATCAGATTTTTTACTGTTGAATTTTGAGACTTCTTCATATCATAAATGTCTTTTAAAACAATTTTTGTTTATGTTTTTTGGTCAATATTTAGAAAACTAGATGTTTAAAGGGAGGACCACCTCAGCAAATTCATTCAAAGTTTGGATCACTGCCTGTTGTGGCTGAGAAGGTGAGAGGAAGAATGAAGATACTTGTTCAGACACACTCCTGCTTTGTTGTAAGTGCAATTTAAATGCCATGAGTCATTTGAAATTGTTCTTAGCTATTTCTTTTCCCCTAAAGTCTGCCAGTGTGAACTATTCTGTGAATGCAAGTATGCAAAGCCTCCTGCAGTTGATGAAACATTACGGGCCACATAACTGTCAGAAACTTACTGAAGTTACGGAGCCTCGATGTCTCTACAAGCCTACTAGAACAACTTTCCAGGGTAAAGCTGAACCTTCTGATTCAAAAAATTCCATTTCTATTGGTGACAATTTGTCTGAACTTGTGATGGCAATGCAGGATGAGCTGGACCAAATGAGTATGTAAGTATTTTCATTCTTTATCAGAACTAGTAAGATATATAGGTATCTTTTTTTCTTCTGTCTTAAGAACAATGCCACTCATGAATTCTTAAAGGCCTTGCTTAGATTTGGATTTATTTTGATCTGCAGAGTTGTTTTCACTGATATTTCACTGTATTTATTGATAGTATTTAAGTTTTCAACTGTGGGTAATTACTACTTTTCCGATCTAAGGAGTTTCCGTGTTCCCAAGATCTGACCTGATAGACAAATACTACTGTCATTCTAACAGATACAGTCTGGTGACCTTAAATTATAACTCACAAATGCTTTTATAAGAAAGATTCTGCTTTTGTTTTGTATAATCTTTTTAATTAAGTGAAATTTCATTAGACAAGTAGGAAATTCTTTGTTTTAAACTCTGGCTGGTCTGCATTATAAGTTTTGAAGCATCCATAGTAAATAAGATTCTGAGTGGGATACATATTTTAAGCCCCAAGTTTAAATATATATTCAACAAAAATTCCAGGAAATATGAGATTTGGGTAGCCAACTAGTTGAACTAGGACATCTGTAGAAGATACAGCTTGTTCTCTTAACAGTATTCCTTAAAGTGGGCTATCACCAAATAGAGATTTCTTGGGCAAATATTTTTATAGCTGCAGTTCTTCCCAAACACCGTATATTAAGAATTCCAAAGTTGGAACTAAAGAGAGTCCTTTAGTGCTTTTAGCTAAGGACATCAGAATATTTTATTACATTTAGCTATGAACATCAAGAATTCAAAATTTATTTTAAGGTTCTTTAAGACCCTAAGTCTAAGATATTTCTAAATTTAATCTCAAATCATAAGAGCCTTTTATATTTACCATAGATTAATTAGATAACTGTACATAAAGAGACTGTCTTTGAAAATTAATATTTAAGTGACAAAAATTTATGATTGAACAGAATATTGTTTAATTCTATCAAAGATATATAGTATAAACCATAACAGTGCTTGATATTTGCTTTTCTTTCATAGGGAGCATGAAGAACTACTGAATCAAATGAAGGAAACTGAAAGTCATTCAGTCTGTGAAGACATAGAATGTGAACTAGAACATTTAGTCAAGAAAATGGAAATTAAAGGAGAACAAATTTCCAAACTGTTGAAGCATCAAGACAATGTAAGAAGGCTTTAGTAAAAGATTTTAATAAAAAGATATATCTGGAGTCAGTGTTATATCTCTGTATGATCTTTCAAATTTAAGGTCTGTATGTGTGGCTTAGTGAAAAGATGACAGGAATCCCTTAGGCCTGTTATAGAGCCCTCTGTCCCATTGGAATAACATTGCCTCCTACATAACTCTCCAAGATAATGTAAAGTAAGAGGAACAAGAAAGTTTAGTTATGTATTCGGAAATGGCCTTGGGAAAATTTTGAGGTAGACAGCCCTCCTGGTTACCCTTTTAACATTCTTTCCCTTTACCTCTCCCACCCCTAATCCCTTAATGAAGCCCCTTATGTTGACAGGTCTCTACTTCGGTACCATACATAAACCTGGCTCCTCAAGCAGTATTCTAATGCTAAAATGACTGTTTCTCCTTTCCCAGAACAAGTTATGCTGTGTTCTATTCCCTGGGGACCTGTGCTTAGCTGGCTATAGTGTGGTGGTAAGGGGGACTCTCTCGTTGCATGTGAATTCTTAATAACTAAGAATCACATAACAATTTTAATATTTTAACAGAAGAATCATGGAATATTATAATATTTTATTCCAAGACAATGATTCCATAGGTTGGATTATTAGCACTATTACACTGCTAGAGCAGAAGGCAGAGGGAGTCTTTCCAGGAACCTTCAAATCACATCATGTAGCTATCTGCCTATGGAATAATCAGCATTCATATAAGTTGGTGATATATTAACCTCACAATAAAGCCTTCCCCACTTTTATAGGAAAGTAATAAAGGATTCAGAATTTTACTGCCTTTATTCTTCTGTGACCAATAAAGAGAAAAAGAGGAAATGAAACTTTTGAAGCAAATATTTTCACTTTACTGGCTTTTAAGGCTCTAGTAAGTAAATTTTTTTGTATGATTGTGTTAGGGTGAAGATTATTTAACTTATACACTTTCTTAGAATTGCATAGGAGAAATTTGAAGGGAATAGAGAATAGTCATATTTTTAATGCACATAAATCATATTTTGAAAAATATGATTTATGTTCTATAATAGTCATAGCAGTATAAATTTTCAAGCATTTTATCGTGATAAATTTAATCTCTGCAATTAAAATGGCCTTGGACAAATACCAGGTTCTTAGCCAATGTCTGGATCACCTCTACAAATTAGGCCTATGGATTAAGTGAAATAGACTAAGTAATGGACTAGGCTTGGCAGAAATGGGTTTTGGCAAGTTGATAGGTTTTATTTTGTTTAATTCTTTCTACCCAACTGTTACCAGATACTACTGAATGAAACTTTTTTTTTTTTTTTTTTGGTACAGGCATTCAGTAGTACTTTAAATTCAGGAATACTTTTCAGTAAAATATGTATATATACACATTCAACTCTATAAATTCAGTGCTCATTCCTAGCACCAGATCTTTGCTTTTCTGTTAATACCACCTGAAAGGTCCTTTTTCTCCTGTCTCTATTCTCTAGTTTTTACTCATTTCATAGCCTTTATAAATCTTCCTCTCAGCTTTTCATTGATCTTTGCAGCCCACGTTGGTCTTGTCCTGCTCTAGTCTTCTCAAGTAAATACCTCTGTCCTGCTCAGACTTAGCCCAGCCTCAGTTATTCTCTGGTTGTCACGTATATGCTTTTCTTTCACTAATAAGAGCAATAAGCTTTTTGAGAGCAAGGATTGTTTTATTCATGATATTTTTACCTAACTAGCACGGAGGTAGGCATATGACAGGTATTCAATAAATAAAGACTTAATGAACTTTTTAAATTTCATGTAATCTTTATAACATCAATCCAATCCATCTATTTTAGTAGAGTATATTTTTAGCATCTTTTTTTACTAAAATGTTAGATTTTTTTTCTTTCCAGGTCCGTAAACTGCAGCAAAAAGTTCAAAACTCAAAGATGAGTGAAGCTTCGGGTGTTCAGAGAGAAGAGAGCAACCTTAAAGGATCAAAGAACATAAAAAATAGTCCCAGAAAATGTTTGCTAACTAACTCTCTTCAGAAGAACAGCAATTTTCATCCAGTACAAGTCCATAATCTTCAAATGAAATTGAGAAGAGATGATATCATGTGGGAACAGTAACACAATAGTAAAACTGTCACCTTAAATGAACTCTGTCAGTGAGATCTTGAATTGTCTAAAGTGGTTTTAATATACCTTTATGAAATTCTGAATTATGTTTCTAGTCCCTATAAAGTGTCAAGTTGTAGTATTTTTAAATTAATGCCTAATGGGGCACCTGGGTGGCTCAGTCGGTTAAGCGACTGCCTTCGGCTCAGGTCATGATCCTGGAGTCCCGGGATCGAGTCCCGCATCGGGCTCCCTGCTCAGCGGGGAGTCTTATTCTCCCTCGGACCCTCCCCCCTCTCATGCTCTCTCTCTCTATCTCATTCTCTCTCTCAAATAAATAAATAAAATCTTAAAAAAAATTAATGCCTAATGACCTCCTAAGAGTCACAAATAATAAATGACTGCATTTTTTCTCTTACTGACTGAAATACCTAATCTGTTCATGTTTTAGACACATTGTTCACTTTGCAGATCACTTAAGCTAAGTCTAAGAAATTATACTGGATTGGTGATACTTAAAATTGAGTTAAATTTTGAGACTCAAGTACCATTCCCCTTTTTCATTTAGTAGGCTTGTAACCTTAAGAACCAATGTAAAATGAACACAGTAATGAAAGGTCTTTTACCTTTCATGGTGCTTCCTCCCTATCTTATTTTAGAGCTATGAAATGTTTTTCTTTTTTGGAAATTTAAGAGCTCTGTAAAGAGCTCGATTTTTATGTGACAATTACAAATAGGAACTCGTAGTTATTTAATTTTTAGATGACAGTAACTCAAGTACAGAAGCCTTTTTCTGCAATTCCTGTTCCTTTTACAAATCCAGGGCTGCTTTTTAACATGAGTGACTTATCTTATCCCTTTATAACTAAAACTTTTGATGAGTTTTAGTCTTTGCATTATATACATAATCATCAGTATAAATTGAGAATGTGACTATCCAGTACCCACTTTTATAGCAAAGTATAGGAAAAATAAATTGGACATTTTATTACCTATCCAGTAAAAATTCAGAGGAATATGATACATTTTTAAAATATTTTTAAATCAGTGATGTCATAAGCAATTTCTTTGTTTATGTATACTTTATAATAAATTTACACTTGTTGACCTATCTTTTAAGAAACCTATGGAAACTGGTATGACTCTTTTGAACTTTTTTGGTTTTTCACTGAAATCCTTCGGGGCAACTAGAGAATTGAAATCCTCAACTGAAGTAGAAATAGAAGACTGACAGAAAAGCCATAGTAGAAGGGAGGAACTCAGAAGCTAGGATAGCAGTTTAAGAGATCATGATTCCAAAGGCACAGAGTTGGAAGTATATTTATCTATAGCTGGGGGAATAATCAAGCTACAAGTATGAAAGAATTTTCAGGGCAAGATCTGGGGGAGTTAGGAAAAGCAATTATGTTAAAGACAATCCTCCTAGGAAAATCCCTAACAGTATGTAGGAGAAAGGGGGTAATTGTGGAACTTCTGGTGAGGGAAGAAGAAAACTCTGATTCATTCTCACTGAGAGAAGAGATGTTATGTTAGAGGACCTTTCCAAACCCGAAGTGGGGAAATAACTGAAAATGGGCAGATGGATACTTGGAATTATCCTTGAAAGTAACTTATGATAGAGATGAAAGATTCTCTCTGGTTTAAGTACTGCATGTGTCTTTCACCCACTCTTCTTCCCTCTCCCTCTACAGCTTCTTCAGCCCCAGAGATGTTGCACAGAGCGCTTCATCTAAATTCATTTTCATCACCTTACCTTTTCAACTTTGCCTTTCCGCCTCAAGAATGTGAGTGCTGTAGTTTAAACTTAGCACAAAAATCACCAGGACCATAATGCAGCCCGATATCCTTCTGGGCCTTTGTTTTCTATGCATTTAGGAAGGTGGCTGACCATATTTAGTTTATCAGTAGTGAAGTCATTACTTGCAAAAATGTATTGCTAAAACAAAAACAAAGTCATTTTAGGAAAGTGTGAATATTTCAGTTAAGAATTGAGAATTTTCTTGGAAGATCAGAGTAGTATAGGAGAAAAACCAGAAGACTTCAGAATTAGGAGACTTGGGTTCAAATTGTGACTCCACCCTTTAGTAGCTTGGACAATCAAATAACTTCGGAGCCTCCATTTCTTATTTGTTAAGTAGGGATTATATTGTTACCTACCTCGCAGGGTTGTTGTGAGGAGTAAATGAAATAACACGTCAAAGCACCCAGCAGAAGGGTTGGCATTGAGTAAGAACTCAATAAATGTTAAGTCTGACTGCCCTCCCCCACCAAAAGTTGTCAGAGAACCTGAGTTTGCATGGGTTAAAGCCTGAAAGCAAGAACCGAAATGTATTCTTTGTAAAAATGGGAATATTCTAATTACTTGGGTTTGGTTTTTTGGGTTGTTTTGTTTTTTGTTTTTTGACTGTGCGTCTGGGAGGAAATTGTTTTGGCTTATTCCCTAGCTCAGGTTTCTCATGAGGCAGGGGAAAGAATATGGTCTTACCATGGTGCAGAAATACACAGTCACACACAGCAACTTGGTTTAGAGTCAGTTTTGGTTGTTGGGTAACAGTTATTATGGAGAGACACTAAAGAATTGTCTCTTGTTGCTCCATCACAGCTACTGAACTAAAAACGTGTCCTGCTCGCAGACTGCTGCTTGCCAGAGCCTTTGACTCCTCAGGGGGTGGAACAAATGATTTCCTTCCTGGACAGGGGCAATCTGTGGTCAGTGTACAAGAGTTGCTGTAGCAACCCCGCAGCTGTGCCCTGCCTAGCAGAAACTCGGTAGGATATCATTGATTTTGTTCACTTCAGTGAAAAACAGGTTTGTTTGTTTTTTATTTAATCAGAAATTGAAAAAATGGAATTGGAACTTTCTAGCCAAGACAGATCTCAACTTTGATGAAACTGTGAAACTAGAAAGTTTGAGTGTTTAAAACAGCAGGTATTGTGAGTACTCTAATTTTGGAAATTGCAGTTGGACTCTTGAATTAACCATACCTGTGTGGGTTGGTTGTTGGCAACCTAGCCATTTTTATTAGGTTATAGCCGAAGATAGGAGGGTTGGAGCAAAATGTTCAGTTTTCAGCAGTATAAGATTAACGGAGATACTTAAAATAGTGAGCTCAATGAATGGTGATGGTGTACTTAAAGGTTTTTGAGATTTTTAGATAGCCTTTCTCCTTTAAAAATACAATTTTAACTCCGAAGGAGTAGTCTTAATCTGTGATAAGACATCAAAAAATTTAAATTAAAATTTGACTTGCAGTGTGGTGAGAAGCTAAGGGGAAAAGTCTGGTTGGTTATGCACAATGGAAGCAGAGCTCACTATGGCCAAAAATGCACCAGCTGCCATTGTTGGTGTAGAGTAAATAGTGAAACACCTAATGGGGTTTCCTGGAACTCTGTTCAGCTGTAACTAAAGCTGTATGTACTGAGAACATTTAATTGTATGTGAAGTTTAGATAAGTACAAGCTGACTCCCAGATGTATAACAAGACAAACCTCTCTATGGCATAATACCATCTGTGAGGTGGAAAAAAAAAACAAAAAACCTCAATATGGGTGCCATGGCACCTTTTGATTAAAATGAAATAAGGATGAATAAAAATAATATTGACTGTCATCGATGTAAAACTAAATTTATTTCTTGGTAATTAAATAGACCTTGACAGCGCCTCAGGCTTTTTCGTCATAATCTATAAGCTTATTTTCATGTAAATTTCCTCCTTTAATTCCTTTTTTATACTTTGTTATATAAGGAGAATTAGGCATAACAAAATTGTAAAGTTTAAAGTTTTAAAATCTTGTCTAGGGCAGAGTTTGTTTTTATTGTAGTTGTACATTAGTCATTTAAAGAATAAGGTGGATTTTTTTTTTTCCTGGTGCGATTTTTGGGAGTGTTCTCCTTAATGGTATAGAGTCATTGAATTCTCATTTGGTACAAGATCCTACTAGATGCCGTAGGCAATTATTAGAATTATAAATTAGCACCCCCAAAGAAATTTATTTTTTATTATATATGCATGGTCCATTGGGTACCTATGTGCATTAACAGTTTCAGCAGAAAATAACAGAGAAGCAAATTGATGTCTTGTTACTTTATGCTCTGAGGCCGTTTTTTGACGATCTCAGTTCAGTCTACAATGTTAATGACCAGTTTAGCAGTCTACAATGTTGGGAGACTGGATCCAGTGTGGTTAGAGGAGGGATGTTAGGAATTAAGAATTATCTGTCCGAAAAAAGATAAAAAGTTCTGTGAAATAATCAGCTTTGGTGAAGTTATCCATTATACTGTCGACCCAGGTTTTTCCTCCATTGATATTGCTTATCCATCTTTCCCTCATTCTTCAGGTCTCAGTGTAGTGCTTCCTCTAGGAAGCCCTCTTTGAGTCTCCCTGTCACACCCCTCCCTCTTCTCCCAAATCTGGCTTCACTGCCACTTCTAGGTATTTCTCCTATCTTTGCACTTAGTACATGTTCTTGTTATCGCTTGTTTGTCTTTCCCATAGACTGAAAGCTCCCTAAGGGCAAGATCCTTTCTTGCTCACACTGTAGCCAGCACCCAGCACAATACCTAGCCCATAAGCAGTAGCCCTCTCAATAAATATTTGATAATTACCTGTCATGAAGTTATGTTTACCTTCTTTGGTGGTCTCATCTGAGTAAGCGTATTGGGCCACGCACTGCTGTCTTAGGCACCAGTGCAGTTGTGCAGCTGTTCCATCTTTCAAGGGTATGTGACCAAATTTTACATAATCCCTGGTTAAAATATGCCGGTGTTTTATTGTTTGTTTGGGGGTAAAGATAAAAGGCACTTAGAATGATGCTTTCTTTGATTTTATGGTGCGAAGAGGAAGAGGTTAGAGAGCCAAGGTAGTTCTTTATTTGTATATGGTATGTTTGACTTGTTCAGTCAGCAAGTATTTCCTGATCTCTAATCAAGTATTTGTTATCTCTAAGGTACTGTGCTAGATGCTATGGGAGATTCAAAGCCAAATTATGCGTGGATTCTCTCTTCAAGTTGCTTATAGTCTGATGAGAGGGGACAAAAATATAACAGAAGGAAGAAAACAGTA